TAAAATAATAAGTCTACCGGGAGAATGCTTTTTTGTTGTTTTTACATTTATGTAAAAAAAATATGTGGTTTTAGTTTGAAAGAAATTAATGGATTATGATTTTGTCACAATTCACCACCAGTCCTTTCGCCACTGCACTTCATTTCCCATAATTCCTCCCAGCTCACACCTGCACACACTTCACAATCATCCACACCTGCCATCATTCATTCACTCTCATCGTTCATCTGCTGCTCTCCATTTAAGCATTCACCATCTACGACCACATCCCAGGGTCTTGTTGTTTGACTCTGAACTCTACCTGATTACCTATCCGTGGATTACTATCTGTAAGTCGAACTGTCTTGTCAGCCCACCTGCCACTTCTCTTCTCTACCTGCAACAAGACATTCATTCACATGCGAGTATCACCAGAACTGTGCAATCAAGAGACTCATCTGCCAATCACCTGTGTGTCGTTCAATAAACTCAAAGGGGAATAAACTCATAAACTCATTCGTATTTTACCTGTGTTTGCAATCTTCTGTTCAATGACCAATTTCATGCATGAATTATTTTACGCACAAATATGTGTATAATTACGAATAGTGAATCAGACTTATTGTAATTTCTGAGGTTAAAATGAGTAATTATATAGTAACATTGTATTTAAAAGTCATTAAACTGGTTGTTTTCAAGATGTAAGACATTAAAAAGGGGTACATAAGAGATTTTTTTACAGTGTATTTGCTAACTTGGTTTGTTTTTTTAGTTTCATTACTAGAGCTTATGATACATCTTCAGTTAATTAAATAAATAGTTTAACACAACACATAGATTTGATATTTATATGCAAGTATCAATTATATCAATATAGATTTTATAATTATGAATTCTGCACACTTCGCCATGAATAGTGTGGATGATTTCAGCACAGAGAGATGAGATAGCCCTGGCTGTTTGTCGTCCTGTGTTTGATGCTTCAGGTTATTGGACTTGTGGTAGACTGATGGCAGGAGATGGTGGTCTTGTCAAAGCACACTTCATGTCAGCTGTGGTTTTGAGTTGACAAATGTTTGGCAGGCTGAGACACTAGTCAAAATGGCACTATAGATTTAACTGAAATGGAAGGATAAATCATGCTTGATGCTAAAGGTGACATGGTGAGAAAGGGGCAGATTTGGGGCTGTCTAAAATCCATTTTTGTGTCTGTGTGTGATTGTGCTCACCAAGCAGACATAATCTGTAACTGAATCTTGTTTCTTTTTTGGTTGGGGTAAAAATGGAGAGACATCAATGGAATCACTGACCTCCAAGGAAGTAGTTCAAATGGGAAGGAGGCATAAATGTTTTACTCCAGCATTTTATAGGAGACAGAGACTTAAAAAATTGCTTTTTATTATAATACATTTATATATATATATTTAATACAAAAATAGTATATTTAAAAAAAAATGTTACCCAGTCTAATCACTTCATAATACGTTGCATATAAGTGGACAACATCATTGTTAATATCAGTTTGCTTGAATCTGTTTCACTCAAGAATACAACCTTCATGAGCTATCAAGTTTTCCTGGCACATAATCTTTTCAGCTCCTTTGGTTCAATTTGGACTGTGATGAAGGGAACCAATCATTGAGGGTTCATGAATGAGCAAAACAAGTGTGACCTGATTGAGTCAAGTATTGCGAAGAGTCAAAGAATAATTGAAACTGCGGAAATGAGCTGCATTTGAATTCAGCAAAAGATTTGTAAATGTTTGTTCTTTTTGAAAGCAACTCAATAAGAAATGCATTTTTGCAAAGACACAATGAGGTCATTTTAAGAGAAGATGGATGTGTCTGGCCATTTTACTTTTGAGACTGAATTACTCTGCTTTTAAAGACAGCTTTTATTCTCTTTATCTATAGAGTGCAATAATAATAATTGTGGTCAAACTTTAACTTAGGGTCAAGTTCTTACTATCTACACAACTATTAACTTAGACTTTTGCCACAGTAAACTTAATTGCTGTTTATTAATAGTTACGTTTAGGTATTGGATTAGGGATGTAGAATATGGACATGTAGAATAGAGTATATGTCCTTTATAAGTACAAATACAGCCAACATCCTAATAATACGCATGCTAAAAAGCAACTTAATAGTTAGAATTGGGCCCTAAACTAAACTTTTACCATACATTTTATTTATATTGCAGTTTTTTCAAAACCAAAGTGCTACACCACAGAGTGATAACAATAAAAACAGTAAAACAATTAAAAAAACAAGTAAAAAAGAGAATACAAACAAACAAAAGTAAAAAAAAACAACACTCAAAGACAATAAACAGATTTTAAAAGATGCGTCTTAACTATAGATACATTCATACATTGATGTAGCCTCAGCCTCATTAGAGTCAACTTGTTATCCAGAATTATATCTCCTCAACTGAGTGAAACTGATTTTGAAAGTTGCATTCTTGTCACACTTATCTAAAGACTGAGGATATTGAAGTGAGCATAAACTTCTTGAATAAATATGATAGGAGACAAATGATGACCCAGTAAAAGAAGTTCCGAAAAAGAGTACCTTATAATGTTGCAGTTCCAGAGCCTTGGTTTCACAAAATCAAATTAACGTAGACAAGAATGACAAAAAAGAAATCAGCATACTGATATCCAATATTCAAAGTTTATTATAACCCCAAAGGGTGATTTTTGGTGCTGCATAAAATTTGTAACCATATTATACAAAACACAACATTCTGACAGATTAGCCCATACGTTTAAAAGCCTTACAACAGTGGGAATAACACATAGCTCTATCTTTCTGTGAGACAAACTGTTCAAAGCTATTTGACAACCCAATCTGCTTAATGCAAATAATCTTACTACCTTGGTTGATAATGTTAATCAATGAATTTTGTAGTTTACATGACCATTCCAACTGCATATGGAAAAGTCAGAGTCCTACTGATATCCTATTGAGTCTCTGAAGATGGACTTTTTTTGCATACTGCCTCAACATGAGTATCAAAACACAAATTATTATCAATGATAAGCTTAAGATATTTGTAACTGCTCATTCCACCATTTGACCTTCCAAGTAGAATTCTTGACGTAGAGTAACAAATGTCATTCAGCGATACCCAAGTGGACAACCAGGCCGACAACGAATCCACACACAACCTCAAGCTCATATCATTGTTGATACACACAGGGCCAGAAGAAATGGATACCAAACCACCAGTCATATTACATTAAACAAAATTTAACTAAACTGGAAAATGAAATAAAAATAAATTATTTGATTAAATGAAAACTAAAATGCATGGGTTGAGAAGCAGCAGTCAACTGCGCCAGCATCCTCTCTCACCTAAATAGTGCGAGGAGACTTAATAATGTTAGCCTGCAGGGATGATAGTTATTACAGCTCCTCCCTAATCGAGTTATGAATTACATATTGGTGTCTATATTCTGTCGTTTCACACAGTTCTGACTCTCTCTCTCTATCTTTCACATACACACTCAAACACAGATAAATGTTTTCAAACACACATTTGTTGATATCACAGAGCAAGAAAAGTCTATTATTAAGTCTACTATTATTCTTTCTTTATTGGCAACTCATAATCTGCTTAGCTTTTAATTAATAAAATGTAAAAATGTTGTTATTTACTTTATAATATGTGGTGAAATTTTAAGGAGCAACAAAAGGGACATGTTGCATGGGGCAAAATATGAGCTCATGGGAGGAAATAAAATATTCTAATGCTTTTGTGTTTGCTCACAAAGGTTTTGTGTCCCCCTTGAGAAACTTTCCGAACACAAAGTTTCTTGAGGGAACACAAGCATTTTGCAAGCAGATGCAGTTTCTCGGGGGAACGCAAAAGCATTGAAATGTATTTTTTCCTCCCATCTCATATTTTTTCATATTTTTTCCTTTTGGGGCTCTGTATATGTTTTGCCTGGCTGCATTTGCACCTTAATTTCCTTTAGTAAAGTATCTGTCTAAATAAAATAAATTTAAATGCAAAGTAAAATGAAATAATAACATTACAACATAATAACAAGGATAAATAGACAAGTAAACAAAATCAATAAAATTTAGAAGGATACAAAATTAAATTGTAATAGGGTAATAGTAACATTTTTTAATAATGGTTTGGTGACACATTTACTCATTGTCCCTCATAGTAGCTGGCAAAGGCATCCTGTGCACTGCAGACCTTGTGGTCCCCTGAAGGGCATTCACACTGACAGGGATTTGCAGCGACAAAGCAACCGGAAGTCATTCATTTTCAATGGGAGTTGGTGATTTGAGGTGACATGAGAAAAGAGACCGTTGGCGATGCAACAAAGTTGAGCAGAGTTCAACTCTATGCAAATGTACAATGACATAATATGACTACCAATGACAGTGAAGAGATTGGAGCTCATGTGATGCACCTCATGATACAAATAGATACGGGGGGCTTCTACTAGCAACACTCTCAATATTGTGAATATTGAACAGTTCACCCAAAAAAGAAAATTGTCATCATTTAATAACCCACATGTCGATGCCTCGTCGTGTCTCAGTGTTGTTGTTGTTTTTTGTCCATACAATGAAAGTCAGTGTGGTCCATATGTTGTCCACTGGCATTCAAATATAATACAATGAAAATTCTGTCATACATATGGATGAGTAAATGATGATGAACTTTCATTTAAGTAAGACTTATTTACTTTGTCCCATTGTTGTCATATGGTTTATAGTTTCTTTCTTCTAAGAAATATTTATTCATTTACTATTTTTCCATAAAATGGAGGTCAACTGGGTCCAATGTTTAATGACTTTCACTATACCTTTTTTATGCAAGTAATGGCAAATAGTTTTATTTTTGGGTGAATTAATCATTTATTTACTTTACTTTACTGTTGTGTTTGGGTTGTCCAGTTGCCCTGTGCAATTGGTTCAAATAAATTAGATAATTAAATATATATGTAAACATTTAAATACAATTTATATGTCTCTTTCTTTTTCTCTCTCGCATAGGTAACATCTTTGTGGTGAGTCTTTCTGTTGCTGACCTGGTGGTGGCGCTGTACCCCTACCCCTTGGCTCTGTTCGCTATCTTCCACAATGGCTGGACAATGGGCTCCCTGCACTGCCAGCTGAGTGGCTTTGTAATGGGACTGAGCGTGATCGGTTCGGTCTTCAACATCACGGCCATCGCCATCAACCGCTACTGCTACATCTGCCACAGTCTTCGCTACGACCGACTGTATTCGCGCAGGAACACCTGCCTGTACCTGCTGCTCACCTGGATGCTAACCGCTTTGGCCACCGTGCCCAACTTCCTTGTGGGTTCCCTAAAATACGACCCACGCATCTTCTCCTGCACCTTCGCCCAGACAGCAAGCTCCTCTTATACAGTCTGTGTTGTTCTGATCCACTTCCTTCTCCCGCTGGGTGTGGTTTCTTTCTGTTACCTGCGTATATGGACATTGGTGATTAGGGTCAAAAGTCGTGTCCGGCCCAATCCAAAAGCCAGAGCAGCTGACATGAGGAATTTCCTGACGATGTTTGTGGTGTTCGTACTGTTCGCCGTATGCTGGGCGCCCCTGAACTTCATAGGACTCGCCGTGGCGGTTAACCCTGCAAGAGTGGCGCCCATTGTCCCTGAGTGGCTGTTTGTTACCAGCTACTTTATGGCATATTTCAACAGCTGTCTGAATGCTGTTGTCTACGGGTTGCTTAACCAGAACTTTAGGCAAGAGTACAAACAGATTCTCCGTGCTCTCTGCACCCCAAGAGCGCTGTTCATTGAAAGCTCCAGGTGCAACACTGAAGCCATGAAGAGTAAACATTCACCGGCGGGAACTAATAATAACGTGAAAGAGACCAACATGTATAAGGGCAGAGAAACACATACTCTTTTCTAGTAGATCACTCCCCATTTACCTAACAACCACAATATAAGGGTACAACAGGCCAAGAGGTGGACATGGGTAAAATGCGCATATGTTTTTATTTTCCCAGATTGCAGCAAAAATCCCCACAGCACTTTTCTAATCATCTGCAGTTCATGAAACACTGTGAAATTTGGGATGATTCTTGATGTGATCGTGTGCAGAAACACAAAGTCAATTCTGAACTAGGTTTATCTAATATTTAAGGTTTTTAAAATGTTATATAGGGTTATATAGCTAAAATAATAAAATTCAATCCAAAAGATTAAACTGGGTTGGGTCAAATGAATATATATATAAGAATGGTATTTGGGGTGAAAAGTGTCCCTATTGCTATACAGGCACATTAATTGAACTAATAATAAGCTGGCTGACTATTATGTTGGGTAATCATATTTACATATTTATAAAATATTATTTATTTTCACTGTTAAGCCATATTAAATTATATCTTCTGAGTAAGAATATTTCAGAATCTTTTAAATCCAATTTGCATGTTGTTGTTGTTGTTGTTGTTGTTTTTTTGTTAATGAAAGGAATATTTATTGAATTAATTTATGTTTTTGGATAAATAATATGGTACAAACTTTGTTGAAGGAATTTTGAACAAGTGTCAACTTATAATGTAATATATTTTGCATAATAATGACCATGCTTGCAAAGTTGTGAATAGAATACTGTTTCTGGGTCTAAGTCTCTTGTCCAAGTTTCAAGTGAGAAATTGATTATCTCAACAGACAAAAGCCATTTATGAGCACTATTTATTTACAACACACTAAAATGTGTTTCCATGGATATCAAAATGTCAAAAAGAATCACTGTCTATCCATCTGTAATTTCACTATGGAGATAAAGGTTATGATCATGATTTATTTGGTAGTACACTCTCAGTACAAAAGCATTAATTAATAAAAATTCAACAAAATTACTGAATAGGAATATTTTTTTAAACCTCAACTGAGCTATACAAAGGTGTTTGTCAAGGGACAAAATCTACATTAGGTGGCAATTTAGCACCATCGTACCATATATCTATTCTACAGAAGTCTGTGTGGAGGCTATGAGATGATAATGGTATTCCTTGTAGAATGAACATTCTTTAATAAATGGAGTGGTTGTCAGCCTTTTTGTGTTTTTATTTGAGCAGACTTGAGCTAAAAAACAGAGAAAATAAGACTGCAGACTGTCGAGTCTGTCTGCTCTTGAGTTCCTATAGATTGGCTGATACCATGGCAACTGACACTGAAAAAATATGTTTTGATGCTCTGTGAGTAAATTCCTTTGTAAAGTCTTTGTATATGGATGATTTGCATATCAGGTGCGTCTCCAAGTTATGGACTGAAAATATATATATATATATATATATATATATTTGCAGTAATAAAAAAGGAAAATGAGACAATTTTTTTTTTTTACTTTTGCAACAACAATTAATTTAGTGAAATATTTTTGATATACTGTATCTACATCATGATCTGTATTTCCCGACTATCAGAGTGGGCATTTCCAATCTGAGTGGTCTGCATGCTGTGGTGCTGAGAACTAAACTACATCTTGTCTTTCTTTTTAGTCCTGTCTTTCTTATCTTGCTGTATCTTGCCTCCATTTTTTTGAACATCATTATGTCAATCATACTCTTTCTCTTCCCTGATTATTTTTACTCTGCGCACACACACACACACACACACACACACACACACACACACACACAACACACTATGCTCCTATCCTTGAGGGATATTCATCAGTTCTCCAGACACTTAAAGTGCCAGCTGAAAGGGACAGCTGATGATAACCTGACATAAGATTCTCCAGAGCAGTAATTTTCAAAGAATGTCTGGAATTATTAACCCTGATGAACCACAGATATAAAGAGCCATAAATGCTTTTCAAACTCAGTAGTATAAAAGCATATGGCACTGAGGGGTTTGGAGACTCGTGGGTCATAATTTAAAAAATATGAGCAGACATATTTTATTTGCTCATTTTTGTTTATATGTATTTGCTTATATGAATTTATTTACGTTTTATGAATAAACAAGTGCTATATCTAACTATAAGGCTTTGAGTCAAATGTCGAATTACACAAAGGCTGGTTTTGTGATTATTATGTTTGTTTCAAGCATTTTGTCCTTCAAACTAAAAGCCCATATTACAGTAAAATGTAATTAAAAAATAAAATATTAAAATGTTCAAATTTTTTTAGAGATCCTCCATCCATTTTGTTACAAAGACATTTTAGTGCCACATCCGCATGTGCACATTTTAAAAATCTTTAAAAAGTTGTCACAAACACAATGGCTATCTCAGTAACTAAGGTTTTAAGTAAAAAGTCCACAAATGCTGTTTTTATCCAGAACTGTTTTTGTTAGTTTCAAGTAGGACAAAAATATCTTTTAGTTAAAAAATAATCTCTGACTTAAACTAGTTAAGAATCATTTGATCCTAAGCAATATCATAATGTAGGAAAATGTTTGGAAACTATCCCCCGTTTTCTCTAATAGAATTATATATATATATATAAAGAGAGAAATGAATAAATTTAGTACTTTTTCTAGAAGTTGCTGTGAGGAAGAGAGTGCCACGAGTGCTACCAGTGTTTTTTTATTGCGGGTAAGTGGACACATGCTCTGCACAATCTCTTTTATTCGACATAACCTACTCAGTTTCGTTTATGGAGCTCTCTTCGTTCAATCAGGTGTGGTAAAGGAAGCCATACAAAATTAGCGTGATTGAAACCACTTGTCTACATCATGGATTTAGATAGTTTTCAGGTATAATCGACGTGTAGCGTACTACTGGAAACACGTACTGCGGCGCCCCTTAGCGGACATGCGCAAACATGCACACAACTGCGGTCATGATCATCGAGATCATGTGACAAAGACCCGGAAGCGCAAATAATAATTCAAGATGTCGCAGCACGGAATTATCAGCGATTGAGTTCCCTTTTAAGATTTTTCTTTTGTTTTGCCTATGAATAAAAATACACAATGGAAAAACACGACAAGACGGACGTCGGGTCCATTCCCGGAACCTTGCCTGATTTCAGAGGGTAAGAATTTGATATAATGTGCTTAACGTTATTCTGTTAGGACTTCACATGACCTCTCTCGCCAAAATCACAATCACAGAGCCCATGAAACTAACGGATTAAAATGAAATAAACATTTACATATAAAATCAATAATGTATTTGGTGCTCTTGGTGATTCCAAATCATTAAAAATTCACATTTCGACAACTTTAATTTGTCTAATCTCTCCTTGTCTTTTTTCCCCTCTTTATTCATTCAGGAATGACGGTTCTCTTGTCTCTGTGCTCAAGACACTATTGTTTTTCACTATTCTGATGATAACTCTCCCCATTGGACTGTATTTTACATCAAAGTCTTTTCTCTTTGAAGGTATTTTGCTTACAAAGGCTGAAAAGCCAACTATATTTATAATAATAATAATAAAGGCTACTATTATTATTATCATCAAGACTGCTGTTGTTCTTATTATTGTTGGACAGTCCATACAAATTTCCAGTGCTAAATATCGATGTGTTACTCTACAAGCCATTATATTGAGTCCTTAGTTGCTGGATTGCTTTTACCATAATAATTTCTCCTTAATTCTGTTCTTTTCTTTACAGCCTTTCTGGGTTACTCTAGCAATGACAGCTATTTCTATGCTGCCATCGTTGCTGTGCTTGCCGTCCACGTGGTTCTGGCACTCTTTGTTTACGTTGCATGGAATGAAGGATCACGCCAATGGAGAGAGGGAAAACAGGATTAACCTAAACTGGAAGCAGCAGGGAGAGATGGAAACACACACATGCCTCTCTTATTGTATTCTTATGAACTAGAATATCATAATGCAGTAACACCATCTCTCTCTGTGTGTGTGTATGTGTGTTTACTTTTTTCTCCTGAATGTCTCAACCTATCAGCGATAAGAAGCCTGATTTCTTCTTTATCTCATGCTATGGTCGATGTCATCTTTAGGTCTGGTTGGAGGTTGTGTCAGAAGGTTTTAGATGATATTGTGTTTTTGTGCAGGGCTAATTCAAGATGGTAGAAAAGACAAGCTGTTCTCATAAACATTTAATATTCCCGCATTGTCATTATCTGCCTCATTTCAGCATAGTCAATAAATGAAATCAGTTGATTCAGAACTGGATTCAAGCTGTTGTTCTGTATCATTTTTATGTCTTCCCTTCTATTTTTTACCAAGAATTATGTAGATAGTTGGTGAGTTCAAATAAGTGGGTGTCTGTGGTTAAGTTTAAAAAAAATCCAATGTCATTTCACGTTTTATTTATCAATTAATGCTGTTAAAGCTCTCATTTTCTCTTGCTGTTAAAGCTCTCATTTTCTCTTGAGTGTTTTATAACATTTTACAATTAAAATGACATGTGGAGTGGGATATGAGTTAATATGTTCTGTATTTTGGATCTCCATCTGCCCCCAAACACATTTTATACTTTGTGCCCTCTTTTAGGATAATATGATAGAAAGTGATTAATTAAATATCACAGCATTAATCAGAATGTTGAGTTAGATTGACCCATGCCTGTAATATATTTTAATGAATCGCACAAATATTTGATGATAACATGGAATCAACAATTAATAAACTAAATCCTGAACCCTTCAATTGTTTCTCCTGAATGGTTATCTAGGAAACTAAAACGCTGACAATTAACAATATTATAAACTCAAAAAAAAAAAAATTCACATGACTAAACACATGTCATGTTCTGTCTTGAATAAGAAGTGGTAGCTACAAGTTTCGAGCTCTGGACATTTATCAAGCGGAAATTCTTTGTGATCATGTTTGACAAGTGAAGCAGCTGAAGCTAGGGGCAGAGATGGAGGTTAGTGAATGATCATTGAGTAGTTTGCACTTCTCAACCCAGTTTAGACAAGTGAGTACGACCCCAAGTCAACAGGAATACATGCAAAGATGGGGGATGTGTGTGTTGTTTTAATAAACCATTGTTTGAGACTAAGACAGTAAGACTCTACATTTATGGGCATTTTAAACTCATTCAAGCATTTTAACCCTAAAGCAGTGGATAACAAAAATAGTTTTGGCTTAAGATTAAGAGATTCATCTCCAGAGAATCCAGTGCCACTATCTCAAATCAAGAGTGAAGAACCAGTGACTCAGCTTTAACACTGTGCAAAGAAAGAAGTGAAGTAATTTAACAATTGGAGCAAAAAGTCGCCAAAGTATAAAGCGGGGTATATTTAATATTTTTCATATTATACAAACAAAAAGGCTCTTTGAGCCCCTGTCAAGTTACATCAAATCACTAACCTCAGGGATGGCTTTGGTTTTAAATGAGTTCATGAATTGGTTCTGGTCTGGATAAATTTCTGACAGTGTCGTTTTTCCATCGGTATAGCCGGTATAGTGGAAGGAATGAAGGCTTTAACACACCATCTGCTAATGCAGACTGAGCCAGAAAATAATAGACTGGAAAACATTGGAAGGGAAAAAAAAATGAGTTGAAGCTGGGGAGGGGTGCAAGGAGAGAAGAGAAACATCCAGGCGGAAATATTGAGAGCATGTCTGAGTGGAATAGGAAGAGTGGAAAAGGAGAATTAGTAGAATTTCCTCCAGCTCTGCCGTTTTCTCCGGCCACTGCCTACTTTCTCTCCATTCTACCCCCTCTGTGAGCTGTGCAGCCCAAGAGAGTAATTCTACACTACAGAACTGCTGACAGCAGAACATCACTACTGAACTCTAGATAATAGAACATTAGAAGAGAGGTTCATGTTTAAGCATTCAAATATGAGAAGCAATATGAATATTAGAGCGTATTTGGAGTCAAAATGTAAGCTGCAACTCCTTAGTCAGGTTTTTCCTGCTGGTGATGACTGCATGGATGGACGGAACAAACCAGAAACCAGTGTGGACCTCATCAAAATGGTTAAATACAGCTACACCTACTTCATCTAGACCAGGGATGGGCAATTTCAGTCATGGAAGGGCCACTGTCCTGCAGAGTTCTAAAAGGTCCCCTGAAATGAAATTTTCATGTTTATTATTATTTTTTTTTTTTTACGTTAATAGTAGTTCCCCTAGCCTGTATTTAGTCTCCTCGTGTCTAGAATTTTCAATCGGTGTAAACCGAGCTTTGGCTATATTTCTCTTTTCTGCACCTCAGACGCGCTGACTGAATTTCCTCGTTATTACGTCATAACGAGGAAAGGTTACCTCCCCTTTCTCTGCTTTGCCAGCGGAGAATGGGCTCTATGCACGGCGGTATTTCCGGTGAAGGTGTTTAGGATGCTCGATAACTTCCGCCGATCGTAGAGTCCAATGCAACACAGAGAATTTATATTGAATTTTATAGCTACTCCATGGTTATACTAAAGAAACGTTAGTCACAAAAACAGACAAAACAGACACCCCTCGTTGTGTTTATGCTTCTTTTTAAAATTATATTAAATAAACATAACTATATATAAAATTACATTTAAACGTATGTACGTTTCGGTTAAAAGTCGGGAGGACAGTAAATTTTGAAGACTCTGCCATAATCCTGTTTTCCTCGGTTTTCCTCCGCTTAAATCTCCACAACCGGAAATGGACGAGCATCCTTGCGTCAAATGCGGAACTTATGCGTGCATATAGTCCATTTGGCTCACCCGTGAGAAAATGAGCTAGGAACAGGAAGTACGAACACGCAGGTGCGATTTTAGTTTTTCCTTGAGAGATATAATGTCTTGCAAACGAGCGAACAGACAGGTAATCTTTCTCTCAAAATCTTTCAATACTGTTTATGCATAAGTTAAGCCAGTGTCTAAAATATCAACTTCACAACATTTCTTTTAGTAGGATGAAAATAATCTTATTTAAATTGTGATCAAATTATACAGAAAGCGATCATAGAACAATCTTTCCACACAGCGCAAGTTTATCTGGACAACTCGTTATGAAATCAATGACGCGTGTTACACTGCACAACAAAGCTCTTACTGTATCTACATCATCATGTTTGCATTGGTGAAAAAGCATTAGAGAGAGTGCAGAAACTGTGTCACAATGATCTTCATTCTTGCGATCAACAGACTGTCATCTGCTGCTCAATGCTCATCACAGCAACATTTTATGTGACGGGAATAGATCATACTTCAAAAACTTCTCACGATTCGGTAATCTCAATAGCTCTAACGTTAATAGTAAAAACGTATAATAGCTGTAGTAAAAGTAGCGTTTCACATGTAATATGTAGCTATTTCATATACAAGCATGTCAGCCAATCACAGCAGTGGGCGGTTACACTGAATCCCACAGCAGACACGCCCCTTCAAACAGAGCGTTCAAATCAGAGCCTAAAATCAGGCTATTAAAAATGCCCTTTATTACTAAATTATTTTTAATCTAAAAAAACATACTAACACTATAAGGGCAACCCAGGAAACATTATAAAATAATAAAATAACCCCATGCCCCTTAAAGCCCTAATCAAACACACCCGAGCAAATCTAATCAGTGTCTTCCGGATTACAAATAAAGCTACAGACAGGTGAGTTTTTAACAGGGTTGGAGAAGACAGTGGTCCTCCAGGGCCAAAGTTGCCCATGTCTGATCTGGAAATGACATAGCCTACTGAATAAGAACGTCCTGCTCAAAGATTCAACAAAAAAATACAAGTTCAAGATGAACTGAAATGTTTTGAATCTATTTTGATTTCATGGTGACTTTAAGCCACTCTTTACAAAGCTTATGTAAATCACATGTCCCGAATTGTCCTGTAAGCAACAGAGCGATAGGTGGTCCCCCTACTGCAAGACCTGATGCATATTTCTAATGAGGACCTATACATGATCTACACGACCTTGACAACAGTGGAGATGGAGACCAAAGTTTCACAAGTTGGTTAATAAGTGCAATAATATTGGCACAAAAGAGAGAAGAATTGAAAGGAAGCTGGAGAAGAAAAGAAATGAATGAAAAACACAGGTCTCATCAAAAGCAACAACAGCTAGCTTCACAATGGGGGGCCATTATAGATAAATAGGGCAAGGAAAGCTGTTATCCAACTGTTCCTCCGACAGTCCTGACCTGAAATCAACACAGAACATGATAGAACCTCTAGTCTATTTCTGCTTCACTTACTCTTTCTCCTCACTGCCAGCTCCAAGTGATGACGGAGATATTTCATCCATTTATGCGTCATCATTATAATTATTAATCCAGGTCTATGTGTACGTATCTGTGAGTGTGCATATGTATTTGAGTTTATGGGTGGGTATGTATGTGTGTGCACGAATCTTCCCCTATTATTCTCTGTGACTCACTCCCGTCGTGTAAACACACATGCAGAGAGGTGAGAGGATGTTGTATAATCCTCCCCATTTCCTGTGTGCATGTGGCTTTCTAGTCAGACAATACATGACCTCATTGAGATCAAGAAAGTCTTGACCAGTGCAGACTTACACACATACAACCAACACTCAGGTGCGTTAGACACTGTACATAAATTATCATGTAAACTAATGCAAACACACCCATCACATCCAACTTAATCTATATAACACTTTCTAAACTCATCAAAAATAAATATTGTATAAAATATATATATTTTTTACATATAAATATATAATCTATTAATGATGCCTGATACACACAGAAAGCTAAATAAAGTAGGAGGAAGTTCATGTCTGTTAAAGATAATGGTTAGTGTGATGGGATTTCATTCTTTGGCCGCTGGTCAGTTGGCCACGTTGTCAGTACAGTTACACAATGACCTCTGACATATATAGCAATTGTAAGTCGCTTTGGATAAAAGCGTCAGCTAAATAAATAAATGTAAATGTACAATGTAAAAAATATTCATATTTTATATAAAATATATATTTTCAAAACCCGGGCGATTCTAAAACTGCAAACTTGTGTTTCAAATTTTAGGTTGATATCTCAAAAAATGAGCCAAACCTTTCACTAGAAGACAACTAGACTCCATTACTGCACATAAGGGTGCCTCCATTTCCAAATGTGTTTTGAACCATTATTCCCTCAATTTTCATACAATGTATGACATAGGCATCCTATTCAGAAGTAATATGAGAAGTTTGGCAGATTTTGATATGAATTCAACCTCTAAGAAACACATAAAACGAACACACATGTGCGTCATAGTTCGCTGCCTGCCACATCACAAATGGTGAATCTATCTTCTTTTTTTCTTTATATAAAAAAAAAATATAAAAAATTCAGACCTTGTTACCTAAAACAATTTAATGGATGCTATCTGTTGAACTCTTGGCATGAAAACAAAACGAGGTTACCCTTCATTCATGATTTTTCATGTTCATCACTATATCAAAATAAAAGTCTTAAACACGGTTTAGGAGTGTGAAAAAAATCTTGTTGCAAATTGATAAATTATGGCTCCTCGTTTAAAAATCAGATGAGAATGTAAAACTAGAGATTGTAAGCTTTCAAATGATATATTGTTTGTCAAGATTAGTTTAGGCTTAGTTGGATTGTACTGTTTTGGTTAATTACAGATTTGGGCCGACCGGTGGGCCACTTTTATTCATTTAAGTTAGTTCATGTTTAGAGATGGAATTCATGCTGAATATGAGAAACATTTGGTTGTCAGCCAGGTGACTCATGGCACAGATATAGAGCTAGTGGGATCTGTAGAGAAATGAAAGGCCAGAAAGTGGTTCAGAGACTTCAGACATTACAAAATATTTTGGGTGAGAATGCCGTCTCAATCTGAAGTACCAGAATCCTGCTCCCTAAGTAGAACACATCCGCTAAGTTGCCATGGACACAATTTGGGCACTCATCCTGTATTTTGATTGTGCAATAGTAACTAAGGGTGATTCACCGACTAGCGACCATCGCCATGGAGACTGGTTTCTCTCTCACATTATCTTGGAATTTTCAGAGCGATCACTTGAAGTTTAGTCTGAGAGAAAAAAAAAAGAGAGATGGAAAGAAAGAATAATTCTGAACTTTATAGTGTAATCCACAGTTGCCAATTTGAGGCTTTGTAAACACATTTATCTAAACTGTCTGCAAGCGCTAGGCATTCAGTGGTAACTCCACGACAGTTTTGTTTAGATTTCTGCACATCATTTTTGATCATGATACTAATGGGAATGACTACTGACCTAGAACCAGCCACCCTGTCTTTTTCCACACAGTATTTTTCATTCACGCTGATCTAGGATTCAGGCTGAACACTGACTCATTGGGTTTTCTGCCAGGGCACTGGGTCAGCAATGTGTTTTCTGCTCTACACCAAACACCCTCTCTTTTCTTCACGCCTCAAACGTCTCAATTTGCTTATTAATTGACCATTAAGAAAACTTGAAGTTATTCTGTTTAATGTTACTCTTGTGTATTGAGTATATTGTGCATTCTGTATGTTATCTTTTGTCATGTGAACCTCCAGTCACAACGAATGCAGTGTTGTGCACTGGAAAAATAATATTTTGGGGTATTCTACTGTAAAAAATAACCGTGATTTTAACGGTACTTTATACACGGTAAATAATTGTGACATAATTTTACAGTAAAATACCGTTAAATTTAAAGTTTTTGAAAGTGAAAAAGAACAAATCATTGTATAATTTACAGTGAAAAACCGTGAATTGACATTCCCACAATTTCCTGTGTGACACTTCACATTTGATGAGTTTTTGTTGAAATAACTATAGTTCCTAGTTTTATTGTTTTTTTTCTAATCAGTTATGTACATTAGGGTTTTATGTTACATTTAATGTTGTTAAATTGATGTTTATTGCATTTTTTTAATTTCATGTGTGTTACCATGATGTTGTTTAATGTTTGTGTGAATCAAACTGTGCGGCTTCTTTGTATTACTGTATTCACTTGTGATGAGCTGTGATTGCTCATGTAACTCTCACCACTGCTGTGATGATCGTTGGTTGTCAGAATTTTACAATGGTCTAAAATAGTTATCAATACGTCAATAAGTTGGTAACTCAACATTTTATCAGAAAATAAAATACGGTTTATAACTGTAAATTTTAAATTAAGTCTGTAAAACCATTAACATTCCTACCGTATTTTTAACGGTAAAGTTCTGGCAACCACAGCTGCCAGAACCATTTCTTACCGTAAAAATTACGGTTTTATTTTTTACAGTAAAAGGGATAAGGGGTAGGGACATAAAAGGGGAAAGGTGGATTTTTCCCTGCACAAACCATCACATTTATCTTCGTTACTACATCGTTTGTTTACCGCATTCTTTAAATGGCATGTTTTGTTACCCTGTTGGTTTTGTGTTGCATATGGGTAACACTGTGATAGGCTGTGTTCTAATGCTAAAGAGGAGAAGACCCAATTCTATAGGCTATTTTTTAAAATAGGCTACATTTTACAATTAAGATAGGCTGCATTTGGCTACATTTGTCATTTAATGACACTGTAAGTTCTGGCAACGTCTGCTCTATTTAATTCTATTCTTCTCATCCTCTAATATTTCGAATTATAATGAATTGTTTGTGTGTGTCCAGATTAGTGAGACATTTACAGGGTACACAACAGTGACTCAGTATGGATCAGCTGTGTGATTTCTGCCTCTGGTCCACAGCTGAGCGTTTCATTGACCAAGCACCACTGAGAGCGAAGCGGCAGCTGATGGACATGACCTAGATACAAACCACAGCAGCACGATCCCGCCCGCCCGCTGATGATGATGTCTATAGGATACAGTTTGAAAGAAATCTTTCCACTTCGAAGAATTGCGCTTCTTTTTTGTATACGAACGCCAAAAGAGGGTGAATTTTGATCGGTAACGTATGTAAAGAAAGTAAAATGATTTGGGTTAGCGTATGATGGCTTTCTGGCTGTCGAGTTTTCCAAATTTCTGTTGGAAAAGAAATTGGGACGCAATCTCCGTGTTTTATTATATGTAGCCTAACAAAATGCTGAGTACTTCCAAATTACGGGTCGCGCTTGGAAAGGGCGTGAGTGGCAAACTGTTTCCATGGTGACCTTCTCAGATGCTGGAATCTGACTGAGAGAATTGTAGCTACTAACTTGTAAACTTGTAATACCTTTCGTCGATGCTGAAACGTTTGAAAACACTGTGGAATATTGATAACAAAAACATACAACCCTAACCCCTTTTACATGCGCAACTAAACTCTTTAATCCAGATGGGGGTGACGCCATATTTCAAGTCATTTAGAGTAAGCAAATCAGCCAAATAATCTGCGGGCTGTCAAAATACCTTATGAAATAGTCCAAAATAACTGACTAGAAGTCCCACATGATTTCAATAACCCGACCCTTTATTTGTATATTCGGTGACATTTATCCTAGGTTGTAGCCTATGCGCAGAAAAATTGCAAATACAATAACAATATTAAAAAACAATTTAACAACCCCTTTGAATTGAAATTAAAAAAACAACAACAACATGACATCCCCTTGGCTTCAGCCAATAAATTAAAATAAGTTCCATGTGCTTGATATTTTTGGCAACAATAAGGATTTGATGGAGACATGCTGCTAGGCTCAAGTTAAATAAATATAGCCTAAAAAAGCCTACATCCAAATGTGTTTTCTAAAGTTTATGGTCATTTATTTATTTATTAACATTTATTAGAGGAACAATTTATTACAAAGACGATAAACCTGTTGGAATTCAGCATCTTTTGCAGCGATTTTTGTGTGAACATCAGTGAACAACACCCCACACTCGGTGAGTTTAACGTCTTTGTAAACTAAACAGTTGTGAACATCGTTAATTATGTGGTATTTGTTATATTCATCTAAATGGCTTCCCTCCGATCTGTAACTCAAGCTCCCCCTTTATTTATACACGAAGAGCTTGCCTCACAGAAACACGGCCTCCTTAATTCTCCACCGATGACACCGATGAGAGAGAGAGAGAGAGAGAGAGAGAGAGAGAGAGAAAGACCGGGCGGACGGGCGGGCACGCGCTGTGGTGGGTGTGCGCGCTCCCCTCCGCCGACTCTGGCGAATCCGGTCCGGACACGCCCATTCGCTCCTTTTTAGGTGTGACGAGGGCTGATGACGCAAGCGTGAGGTGTGTGCGTTGGAAAATGAACATCAGTGAATGAAAAAAGCGCTCTGGAAGTCACTCATTGCCCACAGAAACGGTGCCGGTTATGTAACTCTATTTCATGTGTACAGCAAGAAAGGCAAAAAACCCTCTCGGAGTGTCTCGTCGCTGGAGATTCCTAGCAACTTTTCTGTTGAAGTCGGGTTCTCATTGCTGCCTCTGATTAGGTGAGTACAGCTGGTTGTTGCTTGGTTTAGTTTGAAATTAGAGCACACAAGAAGTGTGTCATTGTGTTAAAGGCGCCCGGTGCCTAGTGTCATGGACATTTTTAGCGTTCAGTTAAAGTTGCAATAGGACGTGAGTGTTTTGATAGCGAGAATTGAGTAAATTTGACTTTCTTGTTATAAGAAAGTGATGTGATGATGAAATGACGTTGTTTCTTAATTGATTAGGACAGATCTGTACTTTGTTCATGTACACTTGAAATGACATATTCCAGGAATGAAGATAGTTACTGTGATATCTATATCTGTCAGATGGAGGGCAGATTATGCTCTCCGCTAGTCTGCATATAGCTATTCATTCATTGACAGACCGAGGTGACGTCTCTCTGTGTGTTTTTAATGGAGGTCAAGAGGAACAGCAGGGTAACATCTAGTCTATAGTAGCATGTTTTCTTTTACCGCTTCTTATGGACTGAAGTCATAAAAAGCTTTGGTGAAACAATGCTGATATGCCAATTGAGAATTTGAAGTAATAACCCCTTAAAATAAAAGCACTTATGAAAAGATTGCAAGTTATGTAACACATGACTTGAGAATCATGAGCCGGTGGCAGTGACGTCATGCCCTGGATTTCGTTGAGGGGAATAAAAAGTTCTCTGCTGACGATGTGTCAGCTGTTACTCGTTCAGTTTTTTCTCATTTAAACTCTCTGGTGATTTATTCCTAATTGTTGCTCTAAAATGCCATTTGATCTCTCCTATTTGCTCATTTCGTGTGTTGTTAATTTGTTGGTGTTGCTTGTTCTGGAGAAAGTTAACATAGTTACAAGTAGGGGTGGGCGATATGGAAAAAATATCATATCACGATTTTTTTAGGAAAATCACGATCACGATTTTTTATCACGATTCTTTTTCAAGTTGGTTTTAATATTTTGCAAGTGGCTGTTCATTACAGCCAAACTAATGTCCTTATGTTAAAAACAAAGCCTTAGGTAAAAGAATCTTTGTCATTATTTTCTTTGTTATTAAAAAAATAAGACAAGATAAACATTACACAAATTAATATTCAAATTAAATAAATAGTGCTTTATTTTTCAGATGCACTAGGTGTATTTAGCAGTAGTATTGAAGAAAGTAATTAAATTAAACAAATATGAAATTAAAACACTACAGAGACTTCACTGAATAAATTGATTCTTATTAAAGCTACTATTAAAGTTCTCGGTCAGTGAGTGATTTTCTCCTTGTGTTTTTTTTTTTCTTTTACTAAAGAGATTCCCTCAAAAATGAAAATGGTCTTAATTTACTCTCTCAAGATGTTTTAAACCAGAATAAGTTTCTTTCTTCTGTTGAAAATAAAAGTTATTTTATATAGTGTGGGTAACCGAACAGTTGCTGGTCTCCTTATAGTTTTTTTTTTAGGTTCTCTCCTGGAAGTTAATGGGGACCAGCAACTGTTTGGTTACCCACATTAAAAAAAAATTGTCTTTTGTGTTCAGCACAAGAAAGAAATGAATACAGGTTTGGAACAACATTAGAGTGAGTAAATAATGACGGATCTTTTTTTTTTTTTTTTTTTTTTTGGTGAACTATCCCTTTAAGGACATGCGGCAGTATTATTCCTGTCGCTTTTAGACCAGCACGCGACGCGTTTAATATAGACGCATATTACACCAGATATTCTCTCAAATGTTTGCTTTCACTTTAGACATAGCCTGTTTATGTAAACATTGTGTGTATTTAACAGTATTAGCATAATAAGACTCGAAAGATAACTTAGTCCAGTATTCAGGCGCTGTTTGACAGACTTCTAGTGCCTGTGAGCGCCGTGGATATGCGGTCAGGAAAGCGCACGTTAGAACAGCGCATCAGCGCGTGAATTAAATGTTTAACCGGCAAGGCTTATGCAAATAATGAACTTTTGTGAATTGCAGTGTCCCGTACCTATTCATTAACATGTGATAGGCTACGTCGCGTTGTACAGTTGAGACTGAGGCGCCAGAACTGAACTGATAGAATGCACTGTAACACGATACTACGATATTTCTTCAAAAGCAGATCGTGGAGACATTTTAATCGTCCACGATTAAAAATCGTCATATCGCACACCCCTAGTTACAAGTCATATATATATATTTTTTTTTTTGAACTAGTGGTGACTTGTTGTATTGTGCTATGATGGCTTTGCTGTCTGTAGTTTGATACGTCGAGAGTTGTATATACATCGCGCGCGGCTTCTCCATGACGCGCATGAGCCACAGATATGCTTGGCAGAGCATGAGAACAGCTGTCAGTCCTCAATCTAATTGTTTTAATTTTTTGTTCTGTGGTTGCGAATCTCAAGTGACGAGTCATCAAAATAAACCACGAACAAAAGGGTTTGATAAAGTGTGGGAACGGAAGGTAGGGTTCACACTTGAACAGCTGTTGCATTGCAAATCATCTTAATTTTTCTAATCAGTTGATTTTAGCATTCCCCTCAGTTGTACAGCATTGAAAAACAATGTAAGTCTCAGACATATTTCTGTAGGCCTCTGTTAGAGCTAGAATTTTAACCCCCCCCTTTTTTTTTAGAAATGAATAGGGAAACTAAGGCAGGTAGGCCTATTAGTGAGGCCAGCAGATGGTGCTCACCCTGCACTCTGTCCTAATTTAGTGATGGCGACACTATTCTGTAAAAAGGCAATATTCTTCAGATGAGATGAAATGTTAAAATAAAGTTATGGTTTTTTGTGGTCATAAAGATTAATTTGGACTTTCTTAAAAAAGAGAGGGGGTGTAAACTTAGTTCGTATGCTGTCCAGATTTGCACATTAATTGGCTGCCTAACTACTGGTATAACTATATTCACTCTGTATCCTCTCCACTGATAGATGGATGTTCTGGCACTCCATGGGTGCTCTTCACATCATACAGGGGTGCGTTTCCCAAAGCCAACTATAGTCTCAAAAGAGTTCAGTGGAACTTGTTACCGTAATTGGTTTACAATGTGCTTGGGGAATGGGAAATATGGTCACATGGGTCGAATTCAAAACTAATTGGCCTTCTGCACACAGAGCACTTATTTAACAAATGTGGTGCTTATTGATCCAAGAGCTTTTTTGAGCAGTGTTTTTGCAAGCAGGTGACAGAATGAAACAAGCATGTGATATAGGCAGATTCAGATCTCCCTTGAACAAGAGTATCAGATCCATCAGATGTCCCATTATGGGAACCAGTGCGGCTGGTTTCAAAACTTTGAAACATTCAATTTTAAACTCTCAATCCTGGTCCTTCTTGAACAAGAAGAAATAGGGCTTTACTTGATTTTGTACATCAGGAATTATTTGATGTTTAGCAGTTTTTCTGCCCTTACAAACATGAAGAGAAGAGATGTTGCTGAGCAAAAGGGAGGGAAAGATATGATGATCAAAGATTGTGAAGGCACATCAACTTTAAGAAAGAAATAATAATGTGCACAGATTTATCATTTATAAATCCACCATATGTAATACCCCATTAAAAATATTTCTACTTTGTTGTAGAAGACGCCTTCAGAGAGTGTCTAATGGAATATTTGACTATTGATTTGGGTTTCTTCTTCATTATTATGCCTTGTTCAAAGAGAGCAACATGAATTCTGAGTACGTGTGCAAAGTGCAAAATACTTCTCACTTTTTTTTAATGAGAATAAATATTACTTTATTTATTTTAGTGCATCACGACTGTTCATTTGATCTGTCTGTTGTGAGTGTGTAGGGATGGGAGATTGAAAGAAAGATTGTGAATCAGCTTTTCATTGCTAATGAAGTTGGGAATTAGACATGTAATGCGCCGATCATCAACCAGTGGTCCCTTGATATAATGAAGTGATATGCTAATTTAGATACACTTTGATGTGGCTCACATTAAACTTGACTGTTAGATGTATGCTAGTAAATTGATTAATGGGCAAGAGCAATAAAAGGATGTTATTTGCAGTCCTATAACCTTATACAGTGCACTATTTTAGGGGACAGATGTCCTAAACATAGTGGGCAAAATACCCATCCACTGTCTGCATGGTGTTCGCAACACTTCCAGAGCACTCATTGTCCATATTCGTTCTCTTGTTTTCATTCAGTGGACTTTAATTATTAGTGGAGTAATGTAGGGAATAGTGAACAAGGGTATAAGGGGCAATTTCGAATAAAGCCTCTGTGATTCTCCTTTTTCCCAAAACTTAGTTCTTTTCTGACTCTTGATTGGCTCATCTTGAGGTTTCCATTCACTGATTAAGCCATTGTTACCTCATCAGAGTAATATAGGTCTATTTTGAATGGCTTCAGTGCTCGCTTTATCTCTTTCATGTTCTGTTAACTCATTTTCCTTGTTCAGTTTTTTTTATATCTGTTGTGCTGTGTGGGCAGTTAGAAGTGCCCTGTTCTGCTCTGTATGTTAAATGGTTCTGAATAAAGGTTCCCATTAGAAGATACACTGACTCACAAATAGACTAAAAATGAAAACTTCAGCGCAAATTTGGTATGGTGGGTGCTGCTGAGGGCATATGACATGTACATCCCTTCCGGTGTAAGTGTGTGTTAGGTAACAGATGACACAGTGGCCACTGCTGGGCTGTTACGGAGCTTTCGCACTGGGGAAACTGGGTTACTGGGGCATGGCCTGCAAGCTTCGCCCCAGCACGCAAGCAAGCATGTCGTTGTGACTTGGCAGGCAGAAATGGCAGTGAGCCGCTGCTGCTGTGCCTGAGCACGTTAAGGGAAGCGCCGGCCCTTTAAGAGCCCAGAGCAGTGGTGAATGTTCAAATCCTGTCAGATCTACAGCCTTCAGAGCAGAGCATGAAACTGAAAAACTGAGCTGACTGATAAAAATAGAAATACAACACTCAGCAAGATGGAGAATGGTTAAAAGAATGGAGAGAAAAAATAAACAAGAAAGAAAATATTATGGGGAAAACACCTGTATAAATGCAGAACGAGAAGCCACATAATCGGTACCTAACACTTTACAATAAGGTTTCATTAG